GAAGGTTCTCTACCAAGAAGAGGTACCTTCTGCTCTTCGAGGACTCGAAGGTTAAGGACGGGATCCGGAGTCGGAGGGCGCGTTCCATGTCCCCAGAGCGCGTGTATCCAGGCCTTCAGTCGGATCAGGCGAGCTCGGCGTTCGACTTCCTGAGCGGCGCGAGGAGAACGGTGGCGCGGAGGGGGCACGACAAATTTTTCACATTTCGCGTCTCCCCACCAGTCCACTCGGAAACCGTGCCCATGAGAGTTGACAGGAAAAGGGACGAAGAGACACACCTATTGTAAGAGAACAGGCAACCAGGGTGTACAGGGAGCTCGCTGGGAGCAAGGGGTGGCCTTGAAGGGCCCCTTCGGGCCATCCCTGGGGTCAGTGTGGGGGCGAGGGGAGGAGGAGGGGATCAGGGGGAGGAGGAAGAAGACGACGACGACGACGACGAGGAAGAGGAGGACAAGAGAAAGCAAGACGATGAGGGCAAGGAGGAGGAGGAGGTGGAGGAGGAGGAGGTGGAGGAGAAGGAGGAGGAGGAGGATAACGAGGACGAGCACAGAACTCTCAAAGTCGCCTCTTGGAGCCATCTTGGGAGGGATTCTTTTGAGGGAATGTTGCGGTCCTCTTGGGCCTCTTTTAGGGGGTCTTGGGGTCCTCCTGGAGCCCTCTTGGGGCTCCTCTGGGGGCCTGTTGGGATTCGTGGGGGGCCTCCTGGGGCTATCGTGGAGGGCTTCGGGGAAAAGAGAGTGGTCGTAACGTTTTGGTGCCGCCCTTGGGACCATCCAAATCGCATCTTGGGGCACTCTTGGGGCGCTCTTGGGCCGCTCTTGGGCACTCTTGGGGCCGTCTGGGGGACCTCATGGGCCCCTCTTGGGCCTTTCCTGGGCTATCTTGAGGCCTCAGAAGCGCTTCGGAGGGGAAAAGGCGAGGAGTCACGAATCCTGGAATTTCGAACGGTTTTTGAAGGATTTGGGTTTTTAGGGAGGTCCTGAGTGGGCTCCGAGAGCGTTTGGAGCCGCCTTGTGGCCCTCGTCGTGCCTCTTGGAGGTGTTCCAGAAGCAATCTGGAACCATTGTCGGCTATCTTGAGCCATCTGAGGCCATCTTGGAGCATCGGAGGCCCTCTTAGAGCGATCTTGGGGCTCTTCGGGGGGGTCTTGGGGTCCTCTTGGGGTTTTGGGGGGGGGGTCATGGGGTCTTTTGGAGCCCTCTTGGGGGGCCCTTTGGAGCCATGGGGGGGGGGCCTCTTGTAGCCATCTTAGAGACCATCGATCAAACGTGGGGGGCATCCGAAATTTTGGCCTCCCTTGGGGCCATCCAAATCGCCCAAATGTGTCCAACATCTAGGTGAAATCAATGGCCGCCGAGGCTATCCTGGGTCATCTTGGGCGCCCTGACAGTCCGCGAAGCCCCCCAAACAACCTCATGGAGGGGGGGGGTAACCCTTCCGGGCAGGAAGAGGTATATGCAAGAGTGGAAAAAGAAATCGCTAGACCACCTTAGCCTATCCCAAATGGCTGGTGGGTTCTCAGCATAGCGGACCATGTTCGGGTGTTGCTGGAAGTGCCTTTGGCCCAAGGTGCCCCCAGGATTTCCAAGGAGGCCCTCACGGCCTCCAGGGCACCCCTCACGAGACCCAGGGGGCACCAGGACCTCCAAGATGGAGCGAAGAGCTGGGGGCACCTTGGGCCAGGGGCTCCTTTAGCAACCCCCGACCAAAGGGCTGGTGGGATTGTTTAGCACAACGGGCCATGGTTTAGGTCGGGCGTGTCCTCCTACAGGCGGATTTGGGGCGCAAAATACAACCTAGTTCAAAACATGCCGAAGCATATGTTCAAGCATGCGCCAAAAATCGTCCCCTGATTGATTGTGGGCTATTTTGGGATATTCCTCCTGTAGAGGACAGGCCCGACTTAAGCCATATTTGAATTCGGCGGCGAGCGAAGGGGGGAAGTGAGAAGGAGAAGGCTTCCTCAGAAGGCGGCGGGACTTCGCAGAAGCCCTCGCGCCTTCTGAGAAGTTGTTTTTCTGTCTTCGGGCAAGGCTTCGAACAAACACTTCTCAGAAGGCCGGGGGACCTCCGAGCCTTATGAGAAGGCACGCCCCTTTCTCACATCCCCCCTTGCTCGCCGCCTAGCACAGTGCCGTTTTTTTAATACATGCTCCGCGTGCGGATCATGTATTTTAAAAATGCAGAGATTTAGTATTAAAAACAATGAGGAGTTCATGCATACATTCATTCATAAATTAATCATGCATTAAACATCCTCTACTCTCAAATATCCTATGTATTAAAAACTGCCCTGTAGAGGACAGGCCCGACGTACGCCATGCTTGAACGACGGCGACGAGAGCTCACGCCGGGCTCGTTGGGCTCCCGCTCGCGGTGCCTGGATCGGCTGCGCGTGAGGAGTGACCTTTCGCTGGAGTGACCTCTGGTGCGGGCCCGCGGGGGTCGTCCTCCCCCTCCGCCTCCCCCTCCGCCTCCTCCTCTCGGGGGTGGACAGACCTCCTACCCTGACACGTCGATTCAGGAATTGGCCGTTTTCGGTTCGCGAGGGGGCGCGGCGGCCGTCATTTTTGCGGGTCCAGGTCCGTCGGTTTCAGTCCCAGGCCGTTTTCACTAAGGGGAGGTGTACTGAAGGGAGGTTTGTCCACCACCGATCCTTGGTCGGACGAAAGGGGGGGTTATGGAAAGGGGGGGTTACGAAGTCTGCTGCACGCAGCCGGTTTCGGCCCCGCCGCCGGGCCCATTCTTCGATGCATGGCCGCCTCCAGCTCCGGAGGCGCCGGGAAAATCAGCTACGTGAGCTGATTCTCAGACCCCCCTTTGCTATCCCCCCCTTTCGCCCGGCCCGATCCTTGGGGGTTCTACGAAGGGCTTGGGGGTTCTAAGAAGCCAGGGGGGCTTCTTGATTTTTCCGAAGCCCCCTGCCTTCTGCGGGCGGATTGTGATGGGGGGTGACTTCTCATTGGGGGAGGGCGGAAAGAACCCTGAACGGGGCTCTGTAGGGACCCTTTTGGACCCCTGGTGGCTCCAAAAGGGGCCCGAAAGGGCCCCTTCGGGGCCCTGTTCTTCATCCACCGTCTAGGTCACCTCACCCACCATTACCACCCACTCGATTCTGAAGAGCTCCCCCACGTTTTAAGTCGGGCCTGTCCCTCTACAGAGGGAATCTTCAAAACTAGTCAAAAAAAGAGTATGGGGGGCGATTCCTTTTTGGTATTTTTTGTTGACCATTTGGTGTTTTTGTTTGTTTACTATTATTTCATTTTTCGTCCAAAATCCCCCTGTAGTGGGACGCCCCCGACTTAGCCCACGTTCTAAGGAGGCGGTCCTCCCTCGCGCCGCGCCCTTGTGCGCGTCGCCGACCCGGGGCCCTGGGGCCGTCCACCAAAGCTGGCCGCGGCGCAGCACAGCTCTCGGGGACTCCCCGGGACCACTGACATTAAGTCGGGCCTGTCCCCCTACAGGGGGATTTTCGACGAAAAATGCAAAATACCCCCCAAAAAAAATAATAAAAAAATAGTCTGGGGACTATTTTTTCAATATTAGTTGGCCTCTTGGGGGTATTTTTTGTGTATTTGTTTAATTTTTCGTCGGAAATCCCCCTGTAGGGGGACACGCCCGACTTAACACTGGCAGGGATGCGGTCGGGAGCTTCGAGGCCGGCGCGCGGCAGGTCCACAACTCTGCTATGCAGTAGCGGGTGATGTTTGCACAGGGAGCGGTGCACGTTACAGTTGCTCCTCGCGTAGTCCTGCCGCAACGTGAGCGAGTGAAGAGACGGGGGTCGACTGCGCGGGCAGCCGCGCGTACGTGTCCTGCTACGTGGCGTCGCGCTTGAGAGGGCCGTCTTCTCCTTGCGGCTTGCCATGCTAATTAGCGGCCTGGGAAAGCCGCGGCGCAACGTCGTTGTGTCGTCTTCCTTTCGACCCGTGTCTTTTTCGTCGCTCGTGTGTGATCAGTTCGGGTTGCCCAGGTGTCCACTAACTATGCCACTAGACCATCTTCATACACATACTCTTTCACACACACACACAGACACACACACACACACTATTCTGCCGTGCAAAACTCGGGGAGAAAATTCCGGCAGCTATTCGCTGATGCTCAACGACGCCTGTGTAGCAGCATATAACCGTGTGCCCCTGATGATAATGTATACCGTGCAACCCCCTTATAACATCGTAGAGTTGAGTACCTCCAGTCAGGACACTTTTGGTTTTCGTGGGTGGCCGAACTCTATTACCCCCAGGGTCAAATTCTCGTTGGGGAACTCCGAACTATATAGCCAGGCCCGAGCTAAAAAGAGTGGTGCCAGCACACGCCGAGCTCCAGACAAGCTCAAAGATGACGTCTCGACCGCGATCCCTCGCAAGCCCTGCCTTCTCATCCTCCTCCGCCTGCCCCTCCCCCTCTTCGTTTAGGACGTTGCGCCTCTGATGCTGAGACTTGCCGGGAACATCTTCATTGTCCTTCCCGGAACAGTGAATTTCATTTCTTCTGGGGCATAATTTTCAGGGGTATTTGAGTTCAGTCGGTTACAATTTTGAGATGTTGAGTTTCGAATTATCCCAGTGCGACCCTACCTAGGAGTTGGAGCATCTAGGAAAGCAATATTTGAAAGAGCGTGTTCTACCGCTGCTGGCGGAAAACCGGGGGGGGTCACTACCGGTTCGAACCCCTCCCCCCCCCCTCCGGAAAACCGGGGGGGGTCACCCCTGGTTCGAACCCCTCCCCCCCCCCAGTTCATCATGAAAAGGGAGGGGGGTCACTACCGGTTCGAACCCCCCCCCCTCCACGAACTCGAAAACGGGGGGGGGTCACTACCGGTTCGAACCCCCCCCCCCCTCGAAAACCGAGGGGGGGTGCGGACAGTGGTGGGGACGGTGGTGGTGGGGACAGTGGTGAGGGGACAGCGGGACAGTGGTGGGGACAGTGGGACAGTGGTGGGGACGGTAGTGGTGGGGACAATGGTGAGGACAATGGTGGGAACAGTGGGGACAGTGGGACAGTGGTGGGGACGGTGGTGGTGGGGACAGTGGTGTGGGGACAGTGGGAATGTGGTGGAAACAGTAGGACAGTGGAGGGTACAGTGGTGGTGGGGACAGTGGTGAAGGCGGTGGCGAGGACGGCGGTGGGACAATGGGACAGAGGTACAGTGGGGACAGTGGTGGGGACAGTGGGGACAGTGGTGGGAACAGTGGGACAGCTCAGTGGTTCGAACCGGTAGTGACCCCCCCCTCCGGTTTTCGAGGGGGGGGGGTTCGAACCGGTAGTGACCCCCCCCGGTTTTCGAGTTCGAGGGGGGGGGGGTTAGGGGAGGGGGGGTTTTGCCGGGGGACGGGGGGGGGTGTCCAGCAGGGGGTGGGGGGATTTTCGGAGGGGGGGGGGGGGACCCCCGGGTTCCGGAGGAAAAGGGCGGCAATTTTCCACAGTAAAGCGGCGAGAGATCACGCTCTCTCCAACATCTACATCTACACCGACAGTTACATTAACATCTACACCTGCATCTACATCTACATCAACATCAACAGCGAGACTCACATCTACATCTGCATCCACACCTACATCTTCACCTACATCTACATCTACATCTACACCTACATCCACATCTACACCTACATCTACATCTACACCTACATCTACACTTTCGCATTGGTTTTGCTGTTGCTTTGCATGCAATGCTAGGCTATGCTTGGCTATGCTATGCTATGCTATGCTGTGCTGATGCTGCGCTGCGTTATGCTGCGCTGCGCTAAGCTAAGGCAAGCTAAGCTATGCGTCGCTATGCTATGTTATGCGATGCTGCGCTATGCTAGGCTACGCTACGCTATGCTAGGCTAGGCTATGATATGATATGCTGCGCTATGTTATGCGATGTTATGCTGTGATGTGATATGCTATGCTATGCTGCGCTGTGCTATGCTAACCAATGCTATGCGATGCTATGCTATGACATGCTGCGCTATGCTATGCTGAGCGATGCTATGCTATGCTATGCTATGCTTGGCGATGCTATGCTATGCTATGCTGTGCTAATGCTGCGCTAAGCTAAGGTAAGCTAAGCGATGCTAAGCTAAGCTAAGCTCGGCTAGGCTAAGCTAAGCCAAGCTAAGCTGAGCTAAGCTAAGCTAAGCTAAGCCTAGCTAAGCTAAGCTAAACTAAGCTAAGCTAGGCTAGGCAAAGCGGGGGATCCTGGGGGAACCGCGGGGCGGATGCCGGGGGTACCGCCCAGGGCGTTTTCCATTGCCTGGCCCTTTAAGCTCAGACAGTAAGAACCCTTCTAGGCAGAGCCTAGGTAGGGAATTTTGAATTTTTGAATTTTGAATTGTTGTGTTCCGATTTTTGAGTTAACAGTGTTTGCTAATTGCATGGGTGTTTGGTCGGCTTGAGCCGGCGTGGGATAGCCCCCTCGAGGGCCAGCGGACTTCCCCATGCTCCAAAACACATGGGCCTTCTCACCCCACCTTTCGTTTACCCCGTCTGCCTACCATTAAGTCGGGCCTGTCCTTCTACAGGAGGAATATTCAAACATAGTCAAACAACATTCTGGGGGACGATTCTTTCAGTATTGTTTGACAAATTGTGGGCATTTTTTGATTATTTTTTATTTGTCATCCAAAATCCCCCTGTGGAGGGACGCGTCCGACCTAAGCCTACCATGGCCCCTGGGGCGGTTTCTGAGGCGATGCCGTCATCATGGGGATCCCTCGGCTCGGTGGTGGATCCCAGATTTCCGATGCATTGTTTCGGTCAGGGCTCAGAGGAGGGAAGGTACCCATACCGCTACCCTTCCTCGTTTTCCCCTTTCTTTGAGCCTCCTGGGAGGCCCTCGTCGCCACCTCTGGATTCGCCTCGGGATTCTGGTCAGAACGCACCCCGGGAGAGGTCTGGGGAGTAGCAGTACCGCTACCATTCGGTTTCACCAGAGGCGCAGGCCTTGGAACTCCAGGCTTCCTGCCAGGGACCGGCTTGTCGCCCCGGGGGTCTTATGTGTGGCAGTCTTGGGGCCAGAAGCGACCCTTGCACGAGAATGCAGTGGAGGTCCCTGCCAAGAAGCACCCTGCTTGCCTCCAGGGTGCCCTGGGTTTCTTGGATTTCGATGGTTTTCCCATGGGACGCGTGACGTTCCCACACCGAGAACCCATGGACGCCCTGGGGTCTCAGGGTTTGGGCTTCTTGTGGAGGGTTTTTTTGTGGACTGGCCTCCACTGCATGTGCGAAACAGACTGCCTCGACCTTTCTCGAAGCGTCGGAAGTTGGGGCCCTCATCCTCAAAACTGACTCGTGGGCCTGGCCCAGGGTGCGTCCTGGCCAGGATCTCTCGGGGCGGATCCAGCCGTGGAGGCCCAGAGAGGCACAAATACCGCCCAGGAGGCCCCGAGGCAGAGGGAGACCCAGAAAACCAAGGAGGCCTAGAATTGAGCCGGGCCCCTCCCTCTACAGGAGGACTATTTAAATATAGCAGAAAGTAATCGGGGGACGAGTTTTCGAGTAATGTTGTTGGACTACGTTCGAAGATTCTTTGAGTATTTTTCATGCTTCGTCCAACATCCGCCTGTAGGAGGACATGCCCGACCTGAGCCCAGAGCAGTCACGCCTGGGGACCTGAGCGTGCGTCGGAGCCCACAGCTCCCCCGTCCCGGGCGGATGCCAGATTCGGAGGACGACGAACGAGCAAACGAGCCCAGGGGGCGGGACGAACGACGAGGCGACAGGGGAGAGGGCCACCCAGGCAGCCCGCGTCCCCCCCCGTGGGGCTATCGGCGGGCCGGCACTGCAACTGTCTGCCCCGGCCCAGAGGAGGCAGGACCTCGAGGCACGCCTCACGGGCACGGTGAGCGACAGCCGGACCCAGGCACAGGATCGAGGTCGGTTCGGGGAGGGTGCCCCGATGTGCTTCGTCTTCGTTGGATGCTCTTGTGCATCCCGGGGTCGGGTACCCTGGAATGTTCTGTGTGTCTTGGCCGGCGGATGGCCTCGGGATGTTCTCCTGGCCTTGGTCCGAATGTGGCCATTTTGGACTGACTCGTGCGTGAATGCGGTGTCGTCCGCCTCTGAGTCTGGCAGACAAACACAAGTGGCACGCGTGCCCTGGCTCTTGCTCCGAGGAGCTGCGAGGGACAGGGGGCTTTCGCCTCCTTCCTCCAGGAGTTTCCCTCAGTGGCCGGGGGGGGAGGGGGGAGGACGACCGACGAACGAACGAACGACGACGAAACTGAAGAGGTCCGAGCTCCAGAACACAGCTGCGCAAGAGAGTACAAAGTCTGCATCCCTCATCCCGCCTCGCGCGCGGGCAGGCCCAGAGCGCCACGGCGTCGCCCGAGGGGGCCTCCCCCGACGCCCCGACGGCTCCCCCCCGCGGGCTGCCCCCCGCGCCCCCCGAGAGGTGGTGGCCCCCCAGAGCGTGCGCCTGCAGGTCCAGCCGGGCGGCGCCGCGGAGGGCGCGGGGGCGCAGGCCGACGGGGGGAGCGCGGGGAGCTTCGGCTGCGGGCCACACGTCAGGGGGCCGCATGCGAAGCCTACCCCTACCCCCCACAATTTCTGAGGGGGAGGGTGGGGTTCACTTCATTCGGGAGGTTCCAAGCGAAGTGAACCCCACCCTCCCCCTCAGAAGTCGTGGGGGGTAGGGGTAGGGTTCGCATGCGGCCCCCTACACGTGCAGCCATACTCAAGCAGTGGCGAAGCGTTCTAGCTCGCCCAGGGGCCTACCAGACAATGTTCCGAGAACCTTCTCTGTGGTTTCCACGGCATGCTTTTGGAGCGATCCTGGCTGGGACCGTGTTGTTTTGGCACAGCGGGTTTATGTTATGATATTGTTGTTTTTGTTATTTGAACATGTTTGGTTTCCCAGAGCAGTTCGTGGTAGGACTATACATCCCCAGGACGAAAGTTTGTTCCTCTTGGGCCCGGAGCGAAGGTTTGAAGTCTTGAGCAGACGCGTGTGAAATCTCCGCCGTCGGATCCAAGTAAGGTCGCGCGGTTCCGATTTCGGACTTGCCCGGATCCGCGTCCCACCTTATTTTGCACGGCGGGTCCGATTTCTACCCTGTTTTAAATGTATACTACTATATTAAAACAGGGGACCGGCAGACATCGGATCCGCGGACCCCGCAAACCGCCCGTGTTAAGATTCTACTGGGGAGAGGGGTTCGGTAATCAACTTTCCACGATGGGCCCTGCGTCGTCTCGCGCACTCCCATCAACTCCACGCGCAAGCGGGCCCCATTCAACATGACTGCATACATCCCTCCCCCCCGGTTGCTGCAAACAGCTCGTCCGTTCGCCGTCCGTTCGGCGGCGCCGACGTTGTCTCGCGAACTCCTCATGGCCACTTTCACCTCAAGAGGAAAATCTCGCGTCCTTCGGAAGTAGGAATGCCGGGACGGTCGGTTCCTGCTCAAGGAATAGTCCCAGGAGGCGCCAGACCCTGGAGGATTCCGTATCCAGTGACGGCGGCGGTGATATCCATGGCCGATCCACGATTGGAGCTCCACTGGATTCCTTACCTCAGGGTGCCTTATCCAAGGCCCACACCGCATGGGTAAACATAGCCTCTGGGGGCCCGATGTTCATCCATATCCAGTGCGCCTGGGGTGTCTGGGGAAGGGAAAAATCCGAAGCTGCAGTGGATATGGGCTCAAGTCTTACCCACATCACAGGACCAGGGTTCAAGAGACGGGGGTCAATGCAGACGGGGGTCAGCCAGCGCGCAGGATCTCGCAGGATGCTGCAGGGCCACGGCTGAACTGACCCAGGTTAGGGCGCAGGATCCGGCCGGACCTTGCAAGGCCTGACTGACCCAGGTTTACATCGACGCGTGGTCAGTAGATCCCCGAGAGGGCCCAGACTTCAGGCATTATGTTGTTTTTCCTTCCCCCCCGCCAACCGCGGCGTGTTTTCTTTCATGTCGGTCTCCAGGGGCCGTTTTCGGGCCCTGGGGCAAACACGCACGGGTCCAGGACGCACAACTACCCTTAGAGAGGGGTCAGTCGCGCTAGGGCCGCTGATGAAACATATCCGATCGGCGGATGCCTGATCGCGCGCGTGTGTGTGTGTGTGTGTGCGTGTGTGTGCGTGTGTGTGTCTGTGTGTGTCTGTGTGTGTGTGTCTCTGTGTGTGTGTCTCTGCGTGTGTGTCTGTGTGTGTCTCTGTGTGTGTTTCTGCGTGTGTCTGCGTGTGTCAGTGTGTGTCTGCGTGTGTGTGTGTGTGTTTGTGTGTGTGTGTGTCTGTGTGTCTGTGTGTGTCTGTGAGTGTGTGTGTGTGTCTCTCTGTGTATGTCTGTATGTGTGTATGGCTCTGTATGTGTCTGTGTGTTTGTGTCTCTGTGTGTATGTGTGTATGTGTGTCTGTGCGTGTGTGTGTGTCAGTGTGTGTCTCAGTGTGTGTGTGTGTGTTTTGTGTGTCTGTGTGTGTTTCTGTGTGTGTCTGTGTGTGTGTGTGTCTCTGTTTGTGTCTCTGTCTGTGTCTCTGTGTGGGTCTCTCTGTGTGTGTGTCTGTGTGTGTCTGTGTATGTGTCTCTGTGTGTGTCTCCGCGTGTGTCTCTGTGTGTGTATTTGTGTATGCCTCTGTGTTTGTCTCGGTGTGGGTCTCTGCGTGTGTCTCTGTGTGGGCCTCTCTGTGTGTCTCTCTGTGTGTCTCTGTGTGTCTCTCTGCGTGTCGCTCTGTGTTTGCCTCTGTGTGTGTCTCTGTGTGTTTCTGTGTGTCTCTGTGTGTTTGTCTATGTTTCTGTGTGTGTCTCTGTGTGTGTCTCTGTGTGTGTTTCTGTGTGTGTCTATGTGTGTGTGTGTCTCTGTGCGTTTCTCTTTGTGTGTGTCTCTGTGTGTGTCTCTGTGTGAGTCTGTGTGTGTTTCTGTGTGTGTGTCTCTGTGTGTGTGTGTGTCTGTGTCTCTGTCTGTGTCTCTGTCTGTGTCTCTGTGTGGGTCTCTCTGTGTGTGTGTCTGTGTGTGTGTGTGTGTCTGTGTGTGTGTCTCTGTGTGTGTCTCCGCGTGTGTCTCTGTGTGTGTCTGTGTGTGTATCTGTGTATGCCTCTGTGTTTGTCTCGGTGTGGGTCTCTGCGTGTGTCTCTGTGTGGGCCTCTCTGTGTGTCTCTGTGTGTGTCTGTGTGTGTCTCTCTGCGTGTCGCTCTGTGTTTGTCTCTGTGTGTGTCTCTGTGTGTTTCTGTGGGTCTCTGTGTGTTTGTCTATGTTTCTGTGTGTGTGTCTCTGTGTGTGTCTCTGTGTGTGTTTCTGTGTGTGTGTCTATGTGTGTGTGTGTGTCTCTGTGCGTGTCTCTTTGTGTGTGGCTCTCTGTGTGAGTCTGTGTGTGTTTCTGTGTGTGTGTGTCTCTGTGTGTGTGTGTCTGTGTCTCTGTCTGTGTCTCTGTCTGTGTCTCTGTGTGGGTCTCTCTGTGTGTCACTCTGTGTGTCTGTGTGTTTGTGTCTCTGTGCGTCTGTGTGTCTGTGTGCGTATGTGTGTGTACCAGCACCATCTCCTCTGTTCCGCTCACCTTAGCAATTTCAGCCACAAACTGTGTTGTGACAAGAGCTGAATACCAGCTCATTTTCTGTAGGAGCATCAGCTTGAATCGAGAGCCACTGTATAAATGGACCGTCGAGGAGCTTGTTTGCTTGAATCGTCGACGCTTTCCTTTTCCGAGGATTCCGTCGCCGAGTTTTTTAGAAGCCATGCGTGTTCGCTCGGTGTTCGGGCCCGGGGGGCCTCACGGGTCGATCCAGGGTTCTGGTTGTGGTCCTTCTTGTGCGAGGTTGCAGTTTTGCGTGATGTCGGATCTCTGTGGAAGAAAAGGTGCCAGTGACCATTAAGAATTGCCCAGGGTCGGGCGAGTGGTAGTGGAGGGTGACCTGACTGGTGAAGAACATGGCCCTTATAGGGCCCTTTTCTCATCCCCCATTGAAGGTCGGCATGTGATCAAGAGAATTCCCACCTCACCCGGGTCCCTGACTCTACTGTAAGGGTTGGACTAATCAAAGCCGGGCGATCGGAAACTATTTTCAATCGTCGCCACCCGCTGCTACAACCTCACTACTACTCCTACTACGATTACTACAACTACAACAACTACTACTACTACTACTACTACTTCTTCTTCTACTACTACTACTGCTACTACTACTACTGTTGCTACAACCAAAACAACAACTACTACTGCTACTACTACTATACTACTACTACTACTACTACTACTACTACTACTACTACTACTACTACTACTACTACTACTACTACTACTACTATTACTACTACCCCGCTGCTTCAACCATCTCTACTACTACGGCGACGACTACTACTACTACTACGAAAACAACCACTACTACGATTAATACAACTACAACTTCTATTACTACTAATACTATTAAATCCACTCCTATTACGACTACGACTACGACTACCACCACTACAGCAACCAGTACCACTAGCAATACCACTACATATACCATTACCACTACTACTACGAGTGCCCCTACTATTAGTGTTACTACTACTACTACTACTACTACGACT